AGAAGTTGTTGATCAGGAGAGCCATAGATATTCATCATATCACTTCACCCCTCCCCTTTTTTGTCACCAATGCCTGCAACTCTAATACCTTGGAATAAGTGGATTATATCTTCCCTCTTACTCTCTTTTTCATATCATTAATAATTGTTCACTTACAATATCAAATCTATTTTATTTTTTGTCCATGCTAACATGTTGGTGTGGACTTTCAATTCCTTATTGCTAATATTCTTGCTTCCAGTGTGATTTCTCACTACCCACGATCTCATAAATATGGCTTTATTGTCATTTCTGAAAACAAAAACCACCCCCTCCCAAAATACATGCTGTATTTTCTCTAATCAGATAGAACCTGTTAAAACATTTATTATTTTTTTAACATAAATACTTTTTCCAGTTATACTTGTGTCCTTATTGCCTATCCTTGAGTACACTTTGTTTTATGCTTTCAGAGAATCTTCAATTTTAGTTAAAAAATGGATTTTACAAATAAGTTTGTTAAGTCTTTGTGTGAAAAACATATGGAATGAAATAAGAAAAAACTGAGTCCTAGAAAATTTACTCATACAGAGCAAGATTTTAGCACAACTAGCGCTAGACTCTGAGTCTTAAACCCCAGGTTTGAGTTCTTTATGCCAGACTTAACCTACTCTTCAGTGTATCCAATGTCTTTTCTCTCTGTTTTCCAAATATCACCATCCTTCTATGCAGCTGAGCTCTAACTCTGTCTGTAGAATTTGTCTGATTACATAGCCTTCATAGAACTCCAAAATAAGTAAAATTACTAGATACATCATACACTTCCGTAGTGTCTTTTAATGCTGCCTTTTGCAATATCTTTTCATATTTATTTTTAGCTTCATAAGATTGCAAGTGTTTTAGAGACAGTGTCCCAGGAGAATACGCTGTTGTTTTTAATATTCAGAAAAAACCTAGCAACATGCTAGTCATATAGTTGCTTCTCAAGTTAAAATGGTTTGGTGGATTTTGCTGAATATAATTTAAAATCATATATTTCAGATTAATTTTTATGCAATTATAGATTTAATTCCCTTGATTTTGGCCAGGGATTCTCATTGTTCTTGCATTTGAAGTTAGAAAATCCAATAGTGATCTTAAAAGGTAGCCATGGTCACTAGAATACTTAATTAGATATGTGAATTCTTTGTAAAATTAAAAGCTGGTTAGAAAAGCACCTAAAAATAAAGAATATACTTTAAAAAAATGATTGCCTTCGTAAGATTAAATCAGTAGGATACAAAGAGGATGCTCTATTAAGTGTTAAAATTCAAGGCCTACTGCTCAAATAGTCTTGTCTAATAAAGGACTGAAGAAGGATGTGGCTATTTTTAAAAGGCAACAGTAATTCATTGATGAAAACCAAGAAGAGCACAACAGAAATCATCACTGAAGAGCATTTCAATTTTCAAGACTAGATATTACCCATTATGTAGATTATTACATGTAAAGGTTATATAAAATTGTTTAAATCCAGGAAAAAAAATCTTTCAAAGTGTTCCTTATAATTACTAGGTCTTATGTTATATATTTTGTACTTTGGAGAACAGCAATTTAATTGGGGAATGTGGATTGGATAACAAATCTTTAAAAATTTTCTATTGTGTTGCTTGTGCAAACTTAAACCATTGCCTTCAATTCCAAAGTTACTCTGTATTTTTTTATTACAAGCATATCCTTCTTTGCTTCTTATTAATATTCTATTAATGTTATTATTACTGGAGAGAATAATTAACAATTATTACTAAACAAAATTTTTTTTTTGAGTTGGAGTCTCACTCTGTCGAACAGACTGGAGTGCAGTGGCCACTCCCGGCCACCACAGCCTCGACCTGCTGGGCTCCGGCGATCCTTCCACCTCAGCCTTCCAAGTAGCTGGAATTACAGGCATGTGCTACCACGCCCGGCTGATTTTTTGATTTATTGTAGAGATGAGGTCTCGCTGCCCAGGCGGGTCTCGAACCCGCGGGCTCAGGCAATCCACTCACCTCAGCCTCCCAAAGGCGCAGGATTACAGACTGAGCCACCGAGCCCGGCTTTAAATAAAATTTTTAAAGAAGAAACTCTTTGTTTTATATAGAAGCAAATTCAATGCCTCAAGAATAAAACACACTAACAATGTAATATTGTGCCTATGTTATATAATTTTATGATTTAAAAAATAATTTTCTTTTTAATTTTTTTATTTCTATGGGTATGACATAATTTAAACAAAGAAAAAGGAGAATTTCATTCAGAATACAGGATTTAAAACCACAAGTTATCTATATAAAGGACAACTAGAATGCATATATGAAATTAAAACAGTGGATGCTTAAAATAGCACAAACTCTCATTTTTTTGACTTATATCCTTGGAAATATAATGGTTTATTTCTTTAAATCTTCCTTGGATTGTAACTTTATACTGACATTTTCCCTATTGTTAGATGGAAATCCTTTTGAGGGTAGAATCTATGGCTCTTCACATCTTTGTTTTTCCTACATTATCTTATTCTATACTTATTATGCAATAGGTAGTTTATAAATCCTTGTTAAATGATTATGTATGCTCAAAGAAAATCCATGTGTTACCTACTGCAAAAAAACAGGCAATGTGAAATTTTAATGACAGGTAAGATTCATGGATAATTACTCTTTTGACATAATCTTCTATAATGAGAAAAATGAAATTAACATGTTTCTGACCCACTGAACAAACTCTCTAAATACATCTGTTCCAATAAAAGATAGAAAATCCTGACCTCTTTACAACATGTTCAATTGTTCTTCTTATCTAACTGATGTTAAAATGATATCTTTAGAGTTTTTATAGTTGTGTGGGAGGATAATATGGGGAAGACTTTTAGAAAGTAAGAAATATGATTGGATTATATAACAAATTATTTATTGCATAACTTAAATGCAACATATTATAATTCATAATTTAAATGTTTATGAATGCCATTGCCAGGCCATTGTGGCCATTCCCTTTTTAAGCTATGGTGTAGCCATGTGCTCTTTAAGCTATGGGCATTCCATGTTTCCTGGATTGCAAAAAGGCCCATAGAAATATTGGTCCATGTCTCATTTAAAACTGAACTTTTTTAAACTTTTAAATTTTTTATTTTAAAGATGTGGGGTACAATTCAGTGTCAGGTATACAAATGTTCATTATGCAGGTGTCCTTGTTGATGTGTATCCCTTCCCCCATGGCAGTTTCCCTCAACTGCCAACCCTCCCCCACCCTTCCCAGTAGTTTTGTCCTTCTTTATGGCTGCATAATACTCCATTGTGTATATGTACCACATTATTAAAAATCCAGTCCAGTTTCTAAGGACAACACGGTCGGTTCTATGTTTTTGCTATTATGAAAAGTGTTGCAATAGACATGCATGTGCTGGTATCTTTTTGATAGAATGTTTTGAGTTCTTCTGGATATATTCTCAATAGGGGGATTGCTGAATCATATGGAAGGTCAATTTCTAGTTCTTTCAGAAATCGTCACACTGTTTTCCAAAGAGGTTGCACTAGTTTGCATTCCCATCAGCAGTGTAGAAGCATGCCTTTTTCGCCACATCCTCACCAGCATCTGTTGTTGTTTGTTTTATTAATGATGGCCATTCTTACTGGGGTTAAGTGGTATCTCAATGTGGTTTTGATATTCTTTTATCTGATGATTAGTAAAGCTGAGAACATTTTCCTGTGTCTATTGGCTGTCTGTATATCTTCTTTTGAGATGTGTCTATTCATGTCTTTTGCCCACTTTTGAATGGGGCTGTTTGCTTTTTTCCTTTTGGCATGTTTGAGTTCCTTGTAGATCCTGGATGTTAGACCTTTGCCAGATATACAGTTGTTAAATATTTTTTCCCATTCTATAGGCTGTCTCCCACTCTCTTGATAGTTTCTTTGGCTTTGTAGAATCTTTTCAGTTTGATGAGGTCCCACTTGTCTATCTCATCTCTTAGGTCATGTTTATTTGGGGTTTTGATCAGGAATTGACTGCCAGTTCCAATTTCCATAAGGGTATCTTCTGTGTTTTCTAAGATTCTTATAGTTTGAGGATTTATGTTTAGGTCTTTGATCCATTTAGTGTTAATTTTTGTGTAAGGTGATAGGTAGGGGTCCTGTTTCAATTTTTTGCATGTGGTCAGCCAGTTTTCCCAGCACCGCTTACTGAATAGGTTCTCCTCTACCCACTGGTTGTTGTTGGAGCCTTTGTCAAAGATGAGTTGGTTGAAAAATTGAGATTTTGCTTCCAGGATCTCTATCCTGTTCCATTGGTCCATATGCCTGTTCTTGTACCAATACCAGGCTGTTTTAATTACTGTAGCCTTACAGTAATGTTTGAAGTCTAAAAACGTGATACCTCTGTTTTGTTTCTTTTGCTAAGGATTGTTGTGGCTATTCGTGGTTGTTTGTTTTCATATGAATTTCTGTATTATTATTTCCAGGTCTGAGAAGAATGATGCTGATAATTTAACGGGTATTGCATTTAATCTGTAGATTGCCTTTGGTAGGATGGACATCTTAACAATGTTGATTCTTCCTATCCATGAGCATGGAATATTTTTCCATTTGTTTGTGTCTTCTTGGGTTTCTTAAGCAGTGCAAAACTGAACGTTTTTACAAATAAAGGGAGCAAAGAAGCTTTCTTCAAATTGTATATGGTGTGAAAGTATATTCATATTTAAAAAACCCAGAGTGACCTCATCTCTACAATAAATCGAAAATCAGCTGGGTGTGGTAGCACGCACCTGTAGTTCCAGCTACTTGGAAGGCTGAGGCGGAAGGATCACCGGAGCCCAGAAGTTCGAGGCTTCGGTGGCCAGGAGCGGCCACTGTACTCCAGTCTGGGCGACAGAGTGAGACTCCAACTCAAAAAAAAAAAAAAAAACCCAACATGGGATAAAAATATTTGTGTTTATTTTAGCCCTTAAAGAACACATTGTTTCTAAAGTATTTTTTCCCAATTTTTAAAATTCTGTGTCTTTTTTTTTTCAGGCATTTCCTGGAAACATCAACTCCGATAGTGTGGTCCGGCATGACTTGCAGCATCCGATTATTGCCCGCTATGTGCGCATAGTGCCTCTGGATTGGAACGGAGAAGGCCGCATTGGGCTCAGAATCGAAGTCTATGGCTGTTCTTACTGTGAGTGTCATATTGTTTAACTTTGTGGCCGGTTTTGTTATCTTCATGTAAATAGTAACCTGTTTTTGTTAAATTATTTTACATAACTTGCTTTTTCCGACAATAAGCTACTCTTATATATACATATATGTGTGTGTATACATGTTTTCCTGTTTGTATGTTATAAATCTATATTACACACAGAGAAACACACATATAAGAATATCTTAATTATACCTTAAGTAAAAGATTCAAAAAGTGATTTTTTTTGTTTAATAGACTAAAACAACAATCTTGCTAATAAAATTGCTTAAAGTCTTAAGAAATATTTAAAAAGGAGAAACCTATATATTATCCATTTTTAGGGGTACTTATGATGGGTTTGAATACTTTCTGGACTTCCTTCCAGTTCATTAAATCTCTCTTCATTTATACCTATTCTTATATTAAAGCCCATCACTGACTTTCAAAAATCAATTACATTTTATCTTTCTATAAATTTCATTTTGCTTTTTTAAAATTTTAAATTTTTTTATTTTTTTGAGTTGGAGTCCCACTCTGTCGCCCAGACTGGAGTGCAGTGGCCGCTTCCGGCCACCACAGCCTCGACCTGCTGGGCTCCCGTGATCCTTCCGCCTCAGCCTTCCAAGTAGCTGGAATTACAGGCATGCGCTACCATGCCCAGCTGATTTTTTGATTTATTATAGAGATGAGGTCTCGCTGCCCAGGCGGGTCTCCAACCCGCGGGCTCAGGCAATCCACTCACCTCAGCCTCCCAAAGGCGCGGGATTACAGGCTGAGCCACCGAGCCCAGCTTCATTTTGCTTTTTGAAAATCTACTCTGTTACCTAAGGAGCTTATTTTCTCTTAATCATATTTTAAATCCCCCTTTCTATTTCTTAAGTACATTATACACATATTTAAGAATTCCAACATATACATTTTTTGGAGATCATAATTCTGCTTTCTATTATTTCTGCTAATTTTTGCCAATAATATTTTTTTCCTTCTCTTCCTCCTCCTTCCTTCTCTTCCTCCTGAACCCTCATTTTATTATCCTCCTTGTCTGCTCATTCTTTTTTTCCTTTTCCTTATACCTATCCATATTTGTGACTGTGACCTCAATTTCTTCAAAACTTTACCCGTGGAACTTCATTCAAACCAAGATAGATGATGGATTCTTCTAGAGAGGATTTATCTTTGCTTATTTGCCTCTGTGAGGGAAATTGCAGCACAGAATTGCTTTGAAGATTATCTCAAGGTTGTTTTTGTTGTTGTTTAGACTACTAAATTGTGTAAATTTAATCTACAAGTACATGATTTGCAAATGCTGGCTTCAGAATATGTATTTGCCAGTACATTACTTTTTTTCCTCCAGGAAATTTTTTTCCTGTTCTTCCAGTTGACTGGGAAACCAGGGATGCTGGATATGGTCAGAAAGGTAACTGGGATATCAGTTTTTTGCAAGAAGTCCCTTATTAGACTCTTTCCTACCCATTCCTATAGTCCCATAAAAATGAGTTCACTATAACCAAAACATTTCAAATGCTCCTACTCTGTACAAGCTTTTAAAAATTCACTAGGTACTTTGTCTCTTACAGTTAAAAAAATATATATTTTATCTCTGTATAATTTATCTGCAGAAATTGATGAAAATGTTAGCTATAATCAGGACCAAATCAATCTTATTAATTCATAAGCAGCAGTGTTACTTGCAAACTGAACTGGTAGCAATGAAGGGATTGTGAAGAACATTTAAAAAGTCTATGTGTTTATTTTATTTGGTTATTCCTTTATTGTATCAGATATAATAATAGAGAGACAAAAGATTTAGCTCTTCGGGAGAATGTAACTCTTTAGAAGGAAGATTTAACTTTTCAGGAGAAGTCTAAAAACAGCCCTAACATAAATTAGGATCCTTGCTACTCTGTGGTCTGAGCACAAAATGCTGTATTCATATATATTCTAGCTCTCAGCATCACAATGGGAAGGCTAGAACAAACTATGATTTTTTTTTTCACCATCACAAACTCTATGAAGAACATGTTCAGCTTTTGGTAAATGAAAAATATGTAATATCCTTCATGGGAACCATGATGTGTGCAATTTATTTTATCATTTGCTGAACCTGCTTTTTATGTGTTATGAAATAATTAAATGTTAGTTTTACTGCCACGAATGAGAAAACCATGGTTTTTTGAGAGATGAAGTGGGGCAAATAATTTAATAGTATTAATTATAATAAAATCTGTGAAAGTTCAAATTTGCCCAAAGGCACATAACCTGAGTGATAGAGCTGAAAGGAAAACCAGATTGTTTTGTACAGTTCAGCAACCCACTCTCACTGTTATGTTCTCCTTCATTCCAACAAAGTAAGCATCAATGTGATCACCCACAGTTTTATTTAAAGAAATTATATGAACGCCTCAGAGGCACTGATCTAGTCTATCCCCAGTTACTGTTACTTCTTAAATGTAAAAATTCTCTTGATTTGTTTCACCACAGATTCGTGTTTCTTTTTGAAAAAAAAATTCAAAATGGAGTCATAAAATATTTTGCATCTGACTTCTGTTGTTGAAAATCACATTTCTGAGAATTATCAAAGTTTTTATTTAAGGTATTATTTAATCTTAGTATTCTTATTCTATGGTATGAATATCCTACAGTTATTTGTTCATTTCTTGCTGATGAACATTTGAGTTGTTTATAGTTTTTGGTTATTTCTGTAGAATTGGTACAAATGTTTCTGATGGGTATAGACCTAAGATGTGGTGATAACAAACTATCATATTTTCAACTTTTGCCAATAATGACACAGATTTTCCAGAAGTGTTTTTATCCATTGAGATGATCACAAACAATGCACTAGAGTTTCTATTTCACAAGTCAAGACATGTAGTATTGCTTTTAAGGTTTAGTCATTCTTGTGTTTGTTGTATTTCATTTTAGTTTTGATGAGCATTTTCCTGAACTTTAAAGAGGTATGTTTATTGGTCACTTGCATAATCTCTTTTATGAAATGTTCATTTAAAATTTTACTCATATTTCTGTGAGTTCCCATTTATTGATTTATTGTTCTAATTGTTTTAAATAGTATTTACAGGCAAGTCTCTCTATTTTCATTCTCATTACAATCTTTAGACATGTGTCTCATTTTTTAGAAGGCTTTCTTAAAAAATAATAATTTTAAAACCAGCATTGCCAGTGAGGTTACTTAAGAGCCCCCAGTAAAAGGCAAAAGCAATTTACCGAAAGGCAAATAGTCTTCTGCGTCAGGTGTGCCTTAAAATATGACAACATGTTCTATAATGGTTACAAGTAGATTTATAAAGTTGTGAGTTTGTGCTATCATGGGCTTTTCCATCAAGACTGGGCTTTGACAATTACAAGACAGAAAGGCAAAATAACGGAAGCAAAATAGGAAGCCAGACTTTTTTGGTGTATACGCCTCTCTGGGGGAATAATTCATACAGCTTTGGAAACTGTATTAACATTTGTATCAATAGATGCCAGTGGAGTGAATGATAACTTAGCAACAGAAAATGAAATAAAAATGGAAAAAACAGCAATGTATAAGGTTGTAATCGATTAGATAATCCCCTCCCGCCGCTCCTCCCCCCACCATGTTCTAATTCCTGGAACCTGTAAGTATATAAAGAAGAGTATTTGCAATTGTGTATAAATTAGCAGTCATGACAAGAGGAGATTATTCTGCATTATCCACGTGGTCCCTAAATAGAATCACATGTATCATTAGAAGAGGTAGACAGGGAGAGATTTCACAGACAGAAAAGGAGTCAATGTGTTCACCTTGCAGCCAGAGACAGGGGTCATGTGATTATAAGCGAAGGAATGCCAACAGACACCAGAATTGGGAAGAAAAAAGGAGCAGATTTTCTCCAGAGGGAGTGTGATATGCCAGCACATTGAATTTGATCAACAAAACTGATTTGGAATTTCTGACCTCCAGAACTATGAAAGAACAACTTTTTGTTGCTTTCAACCACTATGTTTGTGGTAATTAGTTAGAGCAGCAACAGAAAACGAATGCAAACATCAATATAGTTTGGAAAATAGCAAAAAGACAAAAATAGCTCTGGAGCAGTGTTCTCCAATAGAACTTTCTACAAAGATGAAGATGTTCTCGATCTGCTCTAAGCACTAGCCTCATGTGGCTATTAGCATTTGGGATGTAGCTAAGACAACTGGGGGACTAAATTTTTTATTTTATTTATTTGAGTTTGAATTTAAGTAGTGTGACTACTGGCTACCACATTGGACAGTGCAGCTTAGGGAAGCCAAGTCATCTTCTTGATATTTTTATTCCATGTCCTTTTATAATCTAAAGAACCTATAACATTAATTTTTAAAATGTTAGCCTCTAATATTTTTTTCTTCATTTGAAAACAAAAATTTGATCATCCTGAAAACTATCTCTACTGTCAAAAATATAATAACCAGTCATCATCCTAACCACACTGTCTTAGTCCGTTTTGCACCTGAGACTGGGTAATTTAGAAAGAACATGGATATTTATTGCAGTTCTAGATGCTGGAAATTCAAGGTCAAGGGGTCAGTATCTGGCAAAGGTCTACTTTCTGAGTCATCCCATGGAAGAAGTCAGAGTCCACATGACATAATCATGTCTTAAATGTCCCAACACTGTTGCATTGGAGATGGCATTTCTAACACTTAAACTTGGGGGAGACATTCAAACCATCGCCACACCAAATGTCCAGATCAAATTAGTTTTCATTTGCCAAATTTTGAAGAGTGCAAATTACATTCATCTCTTCTCCAAGAAAAATGTACATGTTTATAACAAGAAAAAGATATGTTAAATATACTTGTAATAGAGAACTTTTCAGAAGTTATGTTGATTTAAATTTTCTGTACTTGATTTCAAACTAGAGTGGGGCCTTAGAAAATGACTGAGAAACTGTCAGGGGAGGAGGGGGCATGCCTCATCAACATGGGTACCTGCATAATGAACATTTGTATATCTAGCCCTGAATTGTACC